CCTTTCATGACTCCCCACTCCTGCCACGCTTCCCACCTTCAACACGCCTCATGACTCCCCCACTCCTGCCAATCCTTCCCCACCTGCTGCCACCCCTTCACCAGCTCCCCCCACTCCTGCCACGCCTTCCCACCCTACCCCCCCCTTTCATGGCTCCCCCCCTCCTGCCACGCCTTCCCCACACCTTCAACACGCCTCATGACTCCCCACTCCTGCCAATCCTTCCCCCACACCTGCCATACCCCCCTTCATGACTCCCCCTCCCTTCCTTGCCCCCTTCATGACTCCCCCCATTCTGCCTTCCCCCACCTGCCACCCCCTTTCATGACTCCCCACTCCTGCCGCCTTCCCCACACCTTCAACACGCCTCATGACTCCCCCCCTCCTGCCAATCCTTCCCCACACCTGCCATACCCCCTTCAGCTCCCCCCTCCTGCCACCTTCCCCACCTGCCACCACCCCCTTCTGTCCCCCACTCCTGCCACGCCTTCCCCCACTATACCCCCCTTCATGACTCCCCATTCCTGCCACCCTTCCCCACACCTGCCATACCCCCCTTCATGACTCCCTCCTGCCACGCCTTCCCCACACTGTACCTCATGTCCCCCCTCCTGCAATCCTTCCCCACCTTCCCCCCTTCTTGACTCCCCCCTCCCTGCCACTTGCCTGCCCCCTTCATGACTCCCCACTCCTGCCACGCCTTCCCCCACCTGCTATACCCCCCCCTTCTTGACTCCCCCCCTCCTGCCACGCCTTCCCCACACCTTCAACACGCCTCATGGCTCCCCACTCCTGCCACTGCCCTTGCCACCCATTCATGACTCCCCCACTCCTGCTACGCCATCCCCACGCCTTCAACACGCCTCATGACTTCCTCCCCCCGCGCCAGCCAGTCACCCTCACAGTACACATACCCCCTGGGGAGTCTGGCTCACGCTACACAGGGGACGCAACCTGCCTCCTGTTGTCTGTTGAGGGTGCTGTTACTGTTGTTGTTTCCGTTATTTAGAAAAGTGATAAGTTAAACAAATTAAAGGTGATTTCGGTCACACAAACACACGGTCATCTATCTATCTCTGCCTATCTACCTATCTATCTACCTATCTATCTATCTATCTCTGCCTATCTACCTATCTACCTATCTACAGGTATCTCTCTATCCCCATTCTGTGTTTATTTACAACCAATTTGGGAAAAACCTGTATAATTTTAATCCTGGTAACACATAAATTGACTTGTTTTGAATGGGAACTTATTGATGCGCTTCTAAATCTCACTCTGTTTACATTTCCCTCCGACAGGTAGAAAGATTTTAATTAATATTTTGACCTACCTGTGAGATGAGGTTGTTTTTGCCATTTCCGGAGGGTTTAATCGTGTTGGTTTAAAGGGTAATTTGTCGGGGTTTTTTTTTGGGGGGAGGAGGGGTTTATTAGTGATGTTTGTTAGTTTTTCTGGTTTAAAATAGTGTTTTATTATGAGGATTTGTATATATATGTTGGTTTGGTTTCCTCTTCTCTCTTCTTCTCATCTTCCACCATCGCATTTCCTGCTCCCTCTCTCCCTCTCCCCTACCCCTCGTGTTGTTATTCTCTCTCTTCCCTCCCTATCTTCTCCTCTCTCTACCCTACCCCTACCCTATCCTGCTCTGTACCACAACAGGATGAGAGACAATTGGCCGTTGCTGGAATTTCCGGGTTAAATTGAGAGAGAGAGAGAGAGAGAGAGAGAGAGAGAGAGAGAGAGAGAGAGAGAGAGAGAGAGGACGCCCCTGAGTACTTGTGTGTAAGCAGACGCCCTAAATGAGTTACCCGGGTGAGTACACTTGAGTACACATGAACTCGAGTACCCCCTCCTCCCTCACTAACTAGACACTGTCACTCACTCCATCAGGCTCCAGTTACTCACCACTTATTCTGTCCATTCCAATACAGTTAAAATTTAATGATGATTATATTCAGTTAATTCCCCATCACACAGTTACAAAGAGTGTGTGTGTCTGTGTGTGTGTCCCAGTCCTTCACACAGTTACTCACACTTACAGTCTCTCAAAGTTATTTTCACGGAGTCAGTCACCTGCACACAGTCACTTTCACCTGTCAGTTTAATGCTCCGCCTCGTGATGAGTCACTTGTGAGTCACGTGTAGATTAGGTCGGTCGACACACCTTGTATAAACATTGGTGTGTCAGCTGTTTAGGTCGGTCGACACACCTTATATAAACATTGGTGTATCAGCTGTTTAGGTCGGTCGACACACCTTATATAAACATTGGTGTATCAGCTGTTTACCTCAGTCGACACACCTTATATAAACATTGGTGTATCAGCTGTTTACCTCAGTCGACACACCTTATATAAACATTGGTGTATCAGCTGTTTACCTCAGTCGACACACCTTATATAAACATTGGTGTATCAGCTGTTTAGGTCGGTCGACACACAATGCATCAACACGCACAGGTGGTAAGCCAAGCATTTACGGAGCTAAAAACCTTTATTTACCCCTGGAATTGAGGACATTTGGCTAGTGAGTGGGTTAGATGTGTGTGTGTGTGTGTGTGTGTGTGTGTGTGTGTGTGTGTGTGTGTGTGTGTGTGTCATTTCGGTAAATATTATTCACCACTAGACTAAACCAATGTGACCACAACAAATTAACTCGTGTGTCAGAGGTCAAGGTCACAGCTGAAGGTCAGAAGTCAATTGTTGCGACGGGATTATTATGTGGCGTTCTGATCTTGTTAACTCTGTATTTATATTTAAAGTTTGAGGTTTTTAGGGATATAAGCAGAAACAAGACGCTAGGATATTACTTAAAGCTGTGAAATAAGCTTAAATCCTGAATACAAATTAATACACGTACAGATTTGGGTTATAAAGTACAGGTACAGATATGAAATAAGCTTATAAATATAATTAATCTGAAAGAAGCGGGGATATAGGAATGCGGTGATGACGTCATAACCAATACTATTTACGTAATATAGATAAACATACTGAAATAAACACGATGGTACATATTATCAGGTTAATACCAATAAATCATTAGTAGAGAGTAAATAAATCAATGAATTGGGTCGTCTTGTGTGGCTTTGGGTGGAATGAAGGCGGCTGTATGACGTCACAACCGACGCTTACTCACCCGCGACCGCCGGACTTAAAAGCCTCTGACTTATTTGGCTCTTCAGAATGGTTTACCCCCGCGGCCTCTAGAATGCTTTACCGCCTCCTAACCTAATCTGACCTTACCTAACCTAGCCTGACCCAACCTAAACTACCCTGGCCTAACCAAGCCTGACCTAACCTAGCCTGACCTAAAACCTAAACTACCTTGACCTGACCTGACCTTTGCCCGTAATTACATCCCATCTCCATATTTCTTAGTTTATTTTGAGCTGATAGCGGGGTCGTTAGCTTTGTGTAAACGTATTGAATCTGGTAGGGTTTAGCTGACCTGGTTTTCTGGAGTTATTTATGCGGTTTATTTTCCTTGTTTTATTCTTAGTTTATCTGTTTTATCATTATTTTGGGTTTATTTTTCCCCTTATCGTCTGTTATTGGTCGTATTTCCTCCATTCTATTTCTCTTTATTGTAATTTATCTGTTTTTTGCCTCATCCTTTCATATTTCCTCTTTATTATTCTTTCCTTTCTTTGCTTCTTCCTATTCTTATTTGTTTAAGGCTTGATGCGTAAGAGAGAGAGAAGGAAAGAAATATAAGAGAATGAGAGACAACAGACAGGCGGAGAATGAGTCGCTCGTAAAGCCATGTGAGTCAGTCATGAGTCAGGTTTTGTTGACGGATCTCTGACTCACTGACCTAACTGTGACGTCGTGTGTGTGTGTGTGTGTGTGTGTGTGTGTGTGTGTGTGTGTGTGTGTGTGTTTTGTTTGTTTCTCTGTTCGGGGCTAAATTATGTATATATATGATTTAGAACTACTACTACTACTACTATTATTACTACTACTACTACTACTACTACTAGATATCAATATTGTCGAGTGCATTAGTTATGAGACAGTCTGGCCGGACACACACACACACCACGTTAAGTTAGACTATGCCACATAAGGTCAGGTTCCGGGTCCAAGTCCGGGTATTAGTGAGAACGCTTGACATACAGGCTTAAGCTGACGCCAGGTTAATCCCACGTAGTACACAAGGGAACGCCTGCCTGTATCAATTTAGTTTATTTTTTTTTTTTTTATTGGGCACTCCCCTACATCCTTGTGTAAGGTGTCGGTGCCATCCCGTTAGGTTAGGTTAGGTCAGGTCATCGTCTCCACGCCAGTCTCTTATACTACAGAATCTTTTCACATATTACAGGCTCTCTCTCTCTCTCTCTCAAAACCTCGTAAGTATATTTTTTGTCGTAAATATCACTTAATTTCTCCTTTAACCATCTGGTATTGTGAATTCTCAAAGATTCTGAGATTATTTTTTCAACTTAGGTATTTCTGGTGACGTGGAATCTCGATGTGTAAAGAGTTGGAGGTATGAAGGGATGCAGTAAGCTGGAGAGAGAGAGAGAGGGGGGGGATGGGGAGGAGTGTAGAGAGAGAGAGGGGGGGATGGGGAGGCTGGAGGGTGTAGAGAGAGAGAGGGGGATGGGGAGGTGGAGGAGTGTAGAGAGAGAGATGTGTGTGTGTGGGGGGATGCAGAAGAGGTGTGTGGGGGGGTGGGGTGGGATGAGAGAGAGAGAGGTGTGGGTGGGGTGGGATACAGAAAGAGGTGTGTGGGGAGGTGGGGTGGGATACAGAGAGAGGTGTGGGTGGGGGTGGGATGCAGAAAGAAGGGTGTGTGTGGGGGGGGTGGGGGTGGAATCTTGAGAGAGAGGGTGTGTGTGTGTGGGGGTGGGATGCAGAGAGAGAGAGAGAGAGAGGTAGGTGTGGAGATTGGGATGGGAGAGAGAGGGTGTGTGTGTGTGTGGGGGGTGTGGTATGAGAGGTAGGTGTGGAGCGAATATTGATCTGACAAGTAAGTATTTGAAGTGGTGGAGAACTGGGTAGGCGGACATGACCCACCCACCAATTATTCAGTCCGGAGGTTCAAGTCCAGCACCGAACTCTGCGTCACCCTACTGCTGTGTGGTCGTCAGGTTGTTCTCCCTACTGCTGTGTCGACAAGGCTGCTGCTGCTGCTGCTGCTTCTGTCAGACTTCTTCATCAGTTGTCTCTTGTAGTCAAGCTGTTCTCGATGCTGTAGTTAAGCTGTTGTTGCTGTCTCGTCAAGCTGTTTCTCTCCTCACTGCTGATGTAGGATCTTCATGCTACCCTCTCACTGACTACCATACATCCCTCTCACACCACCCCTCTCACTGACGCTCTTTACTACGTCATCCCTCTCACTGATCCCCACTACCACATCAATGACTACCATATCCCTCTCACTGATTCTACCACTTACCTATAATACCACATCCCTCTCACTACCACATCCTCCTCACACCTCCTCCCTCTCTATTAAGCACTATCCCACCTTGCTTGCACCTGTGAGTTATATCAAAGGTGAGATGAATTACGTCACACGCCCAGGTGTTGGTGGATTGGACAGAATAACACCGGTCAGAAACACTGGACAATTTGCTTTTGGACAATTCCTCACTAGATAAGGTAAGGGGGGAATTCACCAGCGTATGCCATCGCCAGTAGAGGTATTCAGCATCGCCTGACGTTTGCTGCCTTGGGTGAACAGTTATGAAAGTCAAAATAGATAATGAATCACTCTCTCCAGCCATTTATAAGTCGCGAGTTTAAATTCCTGGCTTCTTATTGGCTCCCTAATGTAAATAAACTCGTGAGTGTTTAAGATACAGGTGTGTGTGTTTGTGTGTGTTTGTGTGTGTGTGTACCTGGACATGTTAGTTAGGATCTGGCGTCATGTACTTAAGGATCGTATAGATAAGTTAGTTGTGGTTTTTTAAACATTTATTACCTTGGGATTTTAACATTATTGGGGACCTCAATATATGTTTACTGAGTTTATTTCTTTGTATTATTACTTGGAACTTTACTATGATTACATTGCTTGACGTAAATTGTTGTTTTATGGTAGTGGAACATCATGAAGTGGGGTGGGGGGGGGGGTACCATCCAGCCAATTAAAACTTCAGGTGCGTGTTTTTCTGGCTTCTTATTGGTTCACGTAACGTACACAAGCTCGAGAAGTCGCCCACTTGGTCAAAACACCTGAACAGCGACCAATTGTAAGACCTCAGGGGGTTTTTAATTGACTTTTGATTGGTTCTCGTAATGGGGTAGATAACTTATATAATGACAATAATAACAATAACAGCAGTAGCTTATAGTTAAGAGAGGTGTACTTCAGCCTCAGCGGAACCACAAATCAACCAATAGCAGCTTCCGAATGTATCTTCTTGACTTCTTATTGGTTCACTTATATATAAACACGGTTGTGGGTCTGGGTCTTTGGGAGGTCCTCAAACATGAACCAATTAAAACAAAAATAGTGTTTCTCCATGACTTCTGATTGGCTCACGTTACAGGATTGTTAACTAAAATGTGATTGTTCTCTTCCTCACTGTCAACATGTTCTCCCTCTTGTCTGTCTGTTTTACCGTCTACGTCTTCCAAGATCTTCAGAGAATCTTATTTATGTCTGAAGTAACAATCAGTAATATACACTTGTTTTCAGCCAATTAATACTGCGAGTTTGTTTTCCTGGGTATTCTTATTGGCTCACTTTCTACACAAACTCACGGGTGCTGGTGTTCCAACTCGTCGTCTAAACAGATAAACAAACACCACTTACAACTTTTCGTGTGTGTGTTCCTGACTTTTGATTGGTTCCCTTAACGGGGCAAGTTGCCTTTGTTACTGAAGAATATAAAGCAACTACGGTAGCTCTCGGGTGCCTCAGCGTGATAATTCTCGACCAATAACAGCATTAAAATGTTTCTTCCTTACTTAATATTGGTTCAGCACAGAGAGACCGGGACGTCCATCACACTGTCAGCATTACCCAACATCAACCAATTAAAAAGGTCTTGAGGGTGTTCTTGATTTCTTATTGGTTTCCTTAACATGAGCTGTGAGTCAGAGAAATCCACCAAAGGGTCGACTTAACTGAGCATCAACCAACTAAAAGACGCCGAGTGTTCGTCCTTGACTTTTGATTGGTTCCCGTAACAAATCTCTTAACGAAGTGTGATTGTCTGTCATAGCCTGTACTCATCCGTCTCTTTCTGCCTGTCTCGTCTGCCATGTGTTCTCTTACGGTCTAATACATCGAGAGTCTTAACCAATGACAAGATATTACCTAACCTAACCAAACCTGATAAAAATTACGTAGATTTGGACACTTCACCTGACGAACTCTTGCCTGGCGTGACCTCCACCTCATAAACAACGCTCTAATAAAACGTAATGAGCTTAACGAACCTTCGCCCACCTTTCGCCAGCAGTGACGTTCATTTACAATCCTGTCTGTTGTAAGGGGTCGTGTTTTGAGCACAAGAATGCCATAAAGACCTTGATAACAGTGTCTTGAATATGTCGAGGAATGTGACGTAACCTTATGAGACGTCTACCTAACACCAGCAGGGAGGGGGGTAGTTTCTGGGGTCAGGGGGGAAGAGTGGGCTCAAGGGGTAGTTTCTGGGGTCGGGGTAGACTGGGGTCAGGGGGTAGATTCTGGGGTCAAGGGGGTAGACTGGGATCAAGGGAGTAGACTGGGGTTAGGGGGTAGATTCTGGGGTCAGGGGGAGGGGTGGAAAGTTGTTTGGACACACTTCCTAGCCCCCATTAGTCCCTGTTCACCTAGCAGTATAGTAGGTACCTGGTGTAAGTCGAAAAGTTGCGAATTCGTATTCAGGGAAAGTTGTTGGGGCTTCCAATAACTTGATGACAAAAACCTATGACTCTTCAGGCTTCTACGCCCTTGGCAAAAACCTATGACCCTTCAAACAACCTAACGACAAAAACCTATGACTCTTCAGGCTTCTACGCCCTTGGCAAAAACCTATGACCCTTCAGGCTTCTACGCCCATTACTCATGAGACATAAAGGCAAGCATGAACTTAGCATGCTTCCCAGATGGGCGCTGCAAGCGCTTCTGCGCTTCAACTTGCACAGGATGTAGGGGGGTGCCCAATAAAAAATTAAAATGAATAAATAAAATCATGTATACCAACTCTTTCTAAATCAGGAAAGATGTTATAAAATGTTACATTTTGTATCTTAAATGTATCGTAATTTACAAAGAATTTTTAATATTTATGAAAATTTTAAACAAAGATCACGATTTTCAGTGATATTTGTTGACATTTTCGGTAATAGTAAACATCAAGGTACATCTAGTTGGTTATTCAAGTTACAGTACAAAATAATCAGTGAAAATTTAGCCCAAGGTTTACTTTTTCTCCGCCAGCTGGAGCCGTTTGGGATGACGTTGCACCTCTGACGTCACCTGAGTCCACGAGAGACAGGGACTTTGAAAACAACTCTTTACTCTGTCTCCATCTCAAGGTCTCGACCGATTACGACCTTCTGGTGTCAATGTGGAGGTCTCGGTGCGGAGTAGTTTAATTCCAGATGACAAAGTGACAGTGTTGTTGTGATTGGTCGCACGTCCGTCACACCCTTGGGAAGATGTGTCGTTACGTCACACATCAAGGGGGGGGGGGGACTTCTCCGCAACCTTGCTTCATGTATAAACTAAGTAATATTTAACGTTCTATTTTTTCTGTGCGTTGGGTTGATTATTTTCTATTTAATCCATACCAGAAAAAAACAGATCTAATTAATTTTAAACCTTAGATTGGTGTTTATTAAAGGATTTGAACGTATAATTAGGATCACGATGTGTTTCGAAGCCATCAGTCACGAATACGAACGAATATTGACAGGGGGCCGGGGGGCTGGGAGAGGGAGGCAGCCGACGTGGTCACAAAAATTCCCCCGGGGATTAGGACCAGCACCTCATAGCACCGGGACCAGAAGTGAGTCACTACACCCTAAAATACACCGGGAAGTCATAAAGGAGACACTCTGGGGGTGTTGAGGCGCGGGGGAGGACCAGAAGGTGTTATTTGGGCCCCAAGTGAGCAGTGGTGTTGAGCGACTCGCCCTCGCCCAGCCGTCCGCCACGTTCCCGCCAAAAATAGCGCGGGAAGGTTGTGTTCTGGTGCCCAATGGATACACGTGGTGGACGGCGCGCGTGTGCTGACCTGTCAGTGTGACCTGCTGACCTAATATAATACCACGGCTGACCTGATGACCTAATAGAGCACCTTGGCTGACCCCGCACATAATACCACGGCTGACCTGATGACCTAATAGAGCACCTTGGCTGACCCCGCACATAATACCACAGCTGACCTGATGACCTAATAGAGCACCTTGGCTGACCCCGCACACTGGATGACCTTATGTGAAAGACTTTGTTGAAAATCTAATCGCAAAAAGGACCAAAACCTCTTCTTACTTGGGTAAACAAAACACAGTCGCTGAAGAGAATCAGATCCTCTTGCTCAGTTAAACAGAATATCCTCGCTAAAGAGACTCCAATCCCCTTGTCCGGGTAAACAGAGGCTCACATAATAGGATCTCAAATGTTTATGTTTTCGTATTCAAAACGTTTATAGATTTCGTCTGTGAGTTCCCAGAAATGAATGTCTCAGATTATTTTTATAAAGGTTTGTTAAGACTTTTATATGCGTTTTTCCTCAGCTGGAGAACTTATAAGGATATTGTGTGTGTATTTTTTTATAGCTTGAGATTATTCAGTGAGTTATTGATAGATGGTATCTTTTGATGTTAATGTTTATAGGTAAAATGTATCTAGTTTTAATGGGAAGGGTTATTATTGTTATTATTTGTTGTTATGGAGGTGGTGGGGAGAAGGGATGGAGGTGGAGGAGAGGAGTGGAGGTGGGGGAGAGGAAATGGAGGTGGGGAGAGAAGGGTAGAGAGGAGGGAGGTGGGGGAGGAGAAGGGATGGAGGTGGGGAGAGGAAGGGGTGAAGGTGGGGGAGAGAAGGAGTGGGAGGGGGAGAGAAGGAGGTGGGGAGAGAAGGGTTGAAGGTGGGGGAGAGAAGGAGGAGGTGGGGGGAGAGAAGGAGTGGAGGTGGGGGAGAGAA